TATCTAGTATCTTTGTTGAGAATTGATAATAAAATACGCGACGACTTGGTAACGAAAGTTTGGCACAAGTTTTTTTAGATCCAGCTGTAGGGGGCATCCCATTTTTCGTATTCCCACCATGCACTTCGGTGGAACACAGTGGAACACTTTTTTTGTGTGGAGAACACTATCTTGTATTTCTATATATCGTGAGTTACAAAAAACATGTTTTTAGTGGGGTAAATAAGTCGGCGATTTACCCCGGTATTCTTAAAACGAACTTTAGTCGTAGTTCGAGCTAAAACTTTAAAATTACGTCACTTCGTATTCTAACCCCGGTATTCTTAAAACGAACTTTAGACGCAGTTCGAGCTAAAACTGAAAAATTACGTCATTTCGTATTCTTAAAACGAACTTAGACTAGCACCGCGACTAAATGACGCGAACCTCGACTAAAACGGACTATCTGGTCAGGCTAAATCGCCGACTTGAAATATTTACCCCACTAAAAACGTGTTTTTTGTAACTCACGATAAAGTGAAACGAATAAAAACGATTGTATACGCAGGTTTGATATATCTTCGGTGTGTTAAACAAAAGAGACATCAAGTTTAGCTTCCAGAAGGAGAAATTAACATGTTTTGCTGGCCACATGCGATAGTTGCTGATTTGCACGAAATCCCCTCGCGTTGCGATCACGTAGCTTCACAATAACAACAACAAATATGGCACCGCCCTCGCTCGGGCTCAACTATAATAGTTCTCCAAAGAAAGCAAATTTTCAGTGTCTGTTCAAATTCTCTATTGTAATATGTTAACAACTAATATAGTTATTATTATAGAAAATTAATTAAGGGAATGATGGTCTAATTATGAATTATGAGGAAATAAGTTTTTGAACCACAGACGGCAGCTTAATATTCATCCGCGTTACCGGATCTGTAAAATTTCGTCTGCTATAAAAGTTAGCCCTTTTCATTGGTTAGTTTGATAGTCGTGGCTTGCCAGTCGTCTTCAGTTGAACTAAAACTAGGACTTGATTTAGTCGTAGTTAAAACTTGACTACATTGTTTGTGAATAAAAATTGAAGTTAAAGATGCAACTAGCACTAAATGAAGTTCTAGTTCGAAGTTCGACTAAAGTTTGTTTTAAGAATACGGGCGTAAAAACGAACTTCGACTAGCACTACAACTAAGTGACGTGAACCTCGACTAAAATGATACCTCCGCAGACCGATTTTTTTAGTCAGCCTAGGGTCAGGCTAAATCTCCGACTTGAAATATTTACCCCACTAAAAACGTGTTTTTTGTAACTCACGATAAAGTGAAACGAATAAAAACAATTGTATACGCAGGTTTGATATATCTTCGGTGTGTTAAACAAAAGAGACATCAAGTTTAGCTTCCAGAAGGAGAAATTAACATATTTTGCTGGCCACATGCGATAGTTGCTGATTTGCACGAAATCCCCTCGCGTTGCGATCACGAGCTTCACAATAACAAGAACAAAGATGGCGCCGCCCTCGCTCGGGCTCAACTATAATAGTTCTCCAAAGAAAGCAAACTTTCAGTGTCTATTCAAATTCTCTGTTGTAATATGTTAACAACTAATATAGTTATTATTATAGAAAATTAATTAAGGGAATGATGGTCTATTATAAATTATGAGGAAATACGTTTTTGAACCACAGACGACAGCTTTATATTAATCCGCGGTACCGGATCTCTAAAATTTTGTCTGCTATTAAAGTTAGCCCTTTTCATTGGTTAGTTTGATAGTCGTGGCTTGCCAGTCGTCTTCAGTTGAACTAAAACTAGGACTTGATTTAGTCGTAGTTAAAACTTCAACTACATTGTTTGTGAATACAAATTGAAGTTAAAGATGCAACTAGCACTAAATGAAGTTCTAGTTCGAAGTTCGACTAAAGTTTGTCTTAAGAATACAGGCGTTAGCCTGACCCTAGGCTGACTAAAAAAATCGGCCTGCGGAGGTGTCATTTTAGTTGAGGTTCGCGTCATTTAGTCGCAGTGCTAGTCGAAGTTCGTTTTAAGAATACGAAATGACGTAATTTTTAAGTTTTAGCTCGAACTTCGACTAAAGTTCGTTTTAAGAATACCGGGGTAAGATTTTAATGTTAAATTGTAGGATGACTGAAAAATATTCTAGGTAGGCCTATTACTACAGTATACTACTTTGAAGTACTTGGACTTGATGGACTAGGTTAGTTGGCTTAGTTAGTCCCCGGCTTAGCCTTGTTACCTTAAGCGCCTCAGGCTCATTGAAGTAGTACTAGTAAAGTATTAGATTATTTATTTACTATTTGTTCCATATTATGTCCTTTTTCTTTTATAT